GACACTGAGGGGGGCTGTCACTTTTGGGGCTGTCACCTCTCCGGGGGGGCGGTGACACTGAGGGGGGCTGTCACTTTTGGGGGGCTGTCACCGCTCCGGGGTGACACTGATTGGGGCTGTCACTTTTGGGGGGCTGTCACCTCTCCGGGGGGGTGGTGACACTGAGAGGGGCTGTCACTTTTTGGGGGGTCTGTCACCTCTCCGGGGGGGCGGTGGCACGCTCCAGGGCTGTCCCCACAGCCGTGCCCCCTGTCCCCACAGCTCGGGCCCTGGCTGGCCGTGGAGATCCCGGACCTGATCTCCAAAGGCCTCATCCAGCACAAGGACAAGTGACCAACGGGGGCGACATTGGGGGTCCCCCACCCCCCTCGGGGGTCCCACTCCCCCCCTCGGGGGTCCCTCGTTCCCCTCCCAGCTGCTGCCGCCCCTCCCCACCGCTTCGCTGCTGCTCCCCAATAAACACTGAACCCCGGTTGAGTGGCGCTTTGTTATTTTGGGGGTGGCACGGGGGGGATTTGTCCCCAACACCCCCCGGCGTGTCCACCCCACCCAAACCCGCGCGGGGCGCGGCCCCTTTAAGACGCCGCGCGGTTTCCACGGCGACGCGGGGCGTGGCCGGCAGGGCGGCGCATGCGCAGAGGCGGCGGCGATGCCGGCGGGGGCGGGGCCGGCTGAGGGAGGCACAAAGATGGCGGCGGGTGCGGCGGGAGTTGTTGCCATGGCGGCCCGCGGGAGGTGCGGGGGGACCGCGGGGCGACCCCGCCGGGGGGCCAGGGGGGCGACACTTGGGGCTGGGGTCCCCCCCGAGCCCTTGGGGTCCCCGAGCCTTCGGGGTCCCCGAGCCTCTGGGTTCCCCCCGAGCCTGTGGGGTCCCCCTGAGCCTTTGGGTTCCCCCCGAGCCTTTGGTGTCCCCCGGGGCTCTGGGGTCCCCCCGAGCCTGTGGGGTCCCCGCTGACGCCGTGTCCCCGCAGGGCCCCCGCCGACGGGACGCTGTGTCGGGCCGCCGGGCGCAGGGGGCTGTGAGCAGGTGGGTGCCGCTCCCCGTGCCCCTCTGCCCCCCGCGCTGGCACTGCAGCCCCGTCACGGCGCTGTCGCTGTCCCCGCAGGCCCCGCCATGCCCCAGGCCTCGGAGCACCGCCTGGGCCGCGCCAGGGACCCCGGCGCCGTGGTGACCGCGCAGCCCCGCGCGGGCTCCCGCCTGCCCAGCGGGCACCGGGCGCTCAGCCAGGAGCGCCATGCGGCCCCCAACGGGCTGTCCCCGGCCCCCAAACTGCGCCTGCTGCCCCCCCGGCCCCCGCCGCCCCC